TCTCTAAACCACACATCATTCTGATGTGGAGCAATGTCAACATTCCTACACTGTTAAAATCCTAGAACTTGCTAACAGCACTGTGGGATGTGTGCACTACATGGACTGCAGCAGTTCAAGATGACGGCTTATCACCACCTTCTCCAGTCAATTAGGGATGGGCAATGGATTCTGGTCTAGCCAGTGACACGTGCTTCCCATGAAAGAATAAAACAAACTGGAGCAGAGTATGTCTAAACTTTAGACAGAAAATTTGCTTGAATTCTGAACAGGCCAGCAAACACTTCTGACCATGTTGCAAGAAAAGCTACTTAAGAAGAAAGAAGTCCAAAGGTTGCCTGTTTTGGTAAGCATAGCTGGATTTCAAGGGGTTATAGAATGTCAAAAGGTCAAAATGAAAATAATAATCAATGCAGGAACCTTGACTGTCTTACCTAACATGAAAAAAAGATTTTCAAAGGTGAATCGGACTGAACATAATGATTGATATTTTTTCAAACAATAAGACACAGAAAATTAGAACCAGGGTGAAATATAGTACAAAGAGGTTGTTTGGTACACAAGTCAGTGTCATTGTTTTCTTTAAAAGTGATTGAGTCTAATCCTCCCACATGCTCTTTGTATCCGCTAGGTAAAGCTACTAATTTACTTTTTAAAAAAAAGAGTTCTGTCTCAATGATTGTTTACGGCAAAGATCTCCACATCTAATCACCAACTGAGTAAAGAAGCACCTCCTGTTTAATTATTTTTTGCAATTGTTTTACGTTTATGTCCACTTTGTACTAACTTGTCAAGTGGTTAAAAAAAACTATAACTGTTTACCTGTTTAAAATTTTTATGGACTCAAAAACCCATCTGTTTTCACCCTTAACTTACTCAACTGTTGTGAAGAATGTCCAATTTCTTCAACCATTTATTGTAACAGAAACATGTCATTCGAGTTGGTAAAATAGTTCAAAACTAACTGAAATCTGAAGGTAACAAGGTGTAGAACTGGATGAACACAACAGGCCAAGCAGCATCAGAGGTGCAGGAAAGTTGACGATTCGGGCCTAGACCCTTCTTCAGAAATGGGGGAGGGGAAGGGGGTTCTGAAATAAATAGGAAGAGAGGGGGAGGCAGATAGAAGATGGATAGAGGAGAAGATAGGTGGAGAGGAGACAGACAGGTCAAAGAGGCGGGGATGGAGCCAGTAAAGATGAGTGTAGGTGGGGAGGTAGGAAGGAGATCGGTCAGTCCAGGGAGGACGGACAGGTCAAGGGGGCGGGATGATGTTAGTAGGTAGGAGATGGGGGTGGGGCTTGAGGTGGGAGGAAGGACAGGTTAGGGAGGCGGGGACGAGCTGGGCTGGTTTTGGGATGCGGTAGGGGGAGGGGAGATTTTGAAGCTTGTGAAGTCCACATTGATACCATTGGGCTGCAAGGTTCCCAAGCGGAATATGAGTTGCTGTTCCTGCAATCTTCGGGTAGCATCATTGTGGCACTGCAGGAGGCCCAGGATGGACATGTCTTCTGAGGAATGGGAGGGGGAGTTGAAATGGTTCGCGACTGGGAGGTGCAGTTGTTTAGTGCGATATCCATTTCAAGCCCACCGACTCCCACAGCTATCGAGAATACACTTCCTCCCACCCACCTTCCTGCAAAAATGCCATCCCCTATTCCCAATTCCTTCGCCTCCACCGCATCTGCGCCCAGGATGAGGCATTCCACTCCCCTAAATCTCAGATGTCCTCGTTTTTCAAGGACCGCAACTTCCCCCCCTCAGTGGTCGAGAACGCCCTTGACTGTGTCTCCCGCATTTCCTGCAACTCATCCCTCACACCCCTTCCCCGCAATAACAACCAAAACAGAATCCCCCTCGTCCTCACGTACCACCCCACCAACCTCCGGATCCAACGCATCATCCTCCGACACTTCCGCCATCTGCAATCTGACCCCACCACCAAAGACATTTTTCCCTCCCCACCCTTATCTGCTTTCCAGAGGGACCACTCTCTCCGTGACTCCCTTGTCCACTCCACACTCCTCTCCAGCTCCACCACACCCGGCATTTTTCCCTGCAACCGCAGGGAGTGCTACACCTGCCCCTACACCTCCCCCCGCCACCCCCATCCCAGGCCCCAAGAAGACTTTCCACATCAAGCAGATGTTCACCTGCAGATGTGCTAATGTGGTACACTGCATCCGCTGTTCCCGTTGTGGCCTCCTGTACATCGGGAAAACCAAGCGGAGGCTTGGGGACTGCTTTGCAGAACACCTATGCTCGGTTCGCACTAAACAACTGCACCTCCCAGTCACGGACCATTTGAACTCCCCCTCCCATTCCTCAGAAGACATATCCATCCTGGGCCTCCTGCAGTGCCACAATGATGCCACCCGAAGGTTGCAGGAACAGCAACTCATATTCCGCTTGGGAACCCTGCAGTCCAATGGTATCAATGTGGACTTCACGAGCTTCAAAATCTCCCTAACCTCTACCGCATCCCAAAACCAGCCCAGCTCGTCCCCTCCTCCCTAACCTGTCCTTCCTCCCACCTATCCCCTCCTCCCACCTCAAGCCCCACCCCCATCTCCTACCTACTAACCTCATCCCGCCCCCTTGACCTGTCCGTCCTCCCTGGACTGACCTATCTCCTCCCTACCTCCCCACCTACGCTCATCTTTCTTGGCTCCATCCCCGCCTCTTTGACCTGTCTGTCTCCTCTCCACCTATCTTCTCCTCTATCCATCTTCTATCCACCTCCCCCTCTCTCCCCAGTTATTTCAGAACCCCCTTCCCCTCCCCGCTTTCTGAAGAAGGGTCTCGGCCCGAAACGTCAGCCTTCCTGCTCCTCTGATGCTGCTTGGCCTGCTGTGTTCATCCAGCTCTACACCTTGTTATCTCAGATTCTCCAGCATCGGCAGTTCCTACTATTTCTGAAATCTGAAGGTACTGGCTCTGCTTAGATAATGAGGTCTAGGTCAAATATTAGATATGCCTTGCACCTATACTTCAGACACAAGAATCATTCCTGCATATTTGATTTTTGGTGCACAGAACATCACACAACTGCTAGACTGAGTATTAAAACACAATCCCAAGAATTAAAATTTCTATTGAAATTCACATGCTTCCATTATGCATGTTGCCAACAACAAGATCAGATTCTCAGGTCGCTGCTAATGCTGTCATACAGATGCACTGGGAGAAACTGACTGCTTCTCTTTGTCCAAGTGGAAACTATTTGATCTTTGTTTAGTGCTTTATTACAGCACATGGTCAAGATGAGAACTTGCCCATGTACATAAACTGCGTGGCCAGATGACTTCAAAGTAGGGAACAGTTGCCTCAGTAACATTGAGGTATTTTAACTGTCAGCTTTTTAATAGCTATATGTTTACTATGAAGTGAAGCAACATTGTGAATCATGATGCTTAAGGCATCATGACAGTGTGGCGTAGGCTTAGTCAACCAGCTGATCTTTTCCTGCTATTACCTTTGTATGCTTTTATATTTATAAGCCTTGGGTTTATTCTAATTAAACTCTTGAGAATAAATGATCAGAAAGCTCACAAATTTTACTGCCTTGTGACATATATGCATGAAGTTAAAGCAAAATTCTGGAGCTCTCTCATGATCAGGATAACAGTACACTGTGTAGAAACTAAAACCAAAACTCTAAAAAATCACAGCATTTATAGTCCAGCGGGGTTCTGCTGTCAGAGTAAACTGTGTGTTCATCTGCAATCTGCTTCTCTAGGCCTGATGTGTACACTTGTCAATAGACAGACAGGGACAATTATTCAAAGTGAATGAACAGAAGACAGTGATCAACAGCACCCAGTGAAAACCCGTGACAGGCAGTCGATGAAGATAATTTATCCAGGCAGACCAGTTTAACTACTGCACAGAGGAATAAAACATTAAGCATTCACCTTTGCTTCATAGTGGCACTGCAAGTAAAATCATGAAAAGCAAATTCTTTACATTTAGCTACCCAATATTATTCTAGCAGACCTTAGTGTGTGCAACTACCAATTGGGGAAATATCTGATCCCTTATCTAAGGATTAATATTTATGCAACTTTAACCTTAATGCTTCTGCCATCATGCTAAGAAGGCACTGATGAAAGTAAAGTGTACTGTGAAAAGTATATAGTTGCATTCTTACAGTCAACAATCAAATCAATGTTTTGTGGCATACTCTTATCATTCTATTGACAGATTTTTGATGGACAAGAAAAACAGCATCATACAAGTCCTCAGCATTAAAAAGTCGGCCAATAAGAACCACGAGGAAACTCAAATGCTTGAAATATAATTTAGAGACCTTTGACGAGAACTTTAAATGAGAAATTTAATGAGAACTTTGAATATTATGCACCAATGATACTTTAGACCAAAAATAACAGCATTTCAAATTGCTCAATAGAAAACACCAACAATCTACCTAGTGGTTTCTGAAACAATCCTCTTGTCTATATTATACTCACAAATAAATACTTTCTGAGTCAAACATAGGCAAATTTGTCATCTATCTCTGGAATCAGCTACCCTTCCCCCTCCTTTCCAGCTCTCTGCACCAACCAGGTTAAATTACGCTATTATAAATCACTGTTAACCTTCATTGGGATTTCAGATTGCAACTTTGAATGAAATCAATGGTCTTATGTTTTTTGTAATCTCTCAATTCATACACATCTACAAGACCAGCGTTGCAGTTAAACGTTTTATCAAAATGATATTTTTAGTATAAGATAATAAAGACATTCTATCTAATCAATGTTTTGAGTAATAAATTCATCAGTTCATGATTACCTTGAAAATATAAATGTGCCATAGACCTATTCAACAGAGTTCTTTGTACAATCATAGCTAAATTAGAGACTAACTTTGTAGGATATTTGTTTTACGTAGATTGCCTAAGTTGTGTCGGTTTGAACGTGAACTAAATGGTATTTGCAGATTGTGTTTCAACATATGCAAAAAGTAATCCAAGGAATAAAGAATAACTGACTTACCTGGAATTGGGATAATGGGAATGCTTTCATTAGGAACCACTCGTGGTGAACTGCTGTCCTCCACGTAGAAGTGTGCTGTCTGAAAACATTTTCTGAAGAGAAAATAAACAATGTGCTTATTCTTTGGAAAACTGTATGCATGGACCAAAGTCTTTGAAATTGTGGGTGCTTGTAAATAAACCACTGGCATACTGCCATCATTTAAATTTGTTCTTTATTGTTAATCATTTAAGAATTTCTGATGGGTCTTTGAAAAATGTGCACGAACAATTAAAATAACTGTTAACCTAAATCTTTCCTCTTCCCCTGGAAATACATCAAAGGCAACATACATCAGTTTTTAAACCAAACAAAGTTACACTTGTATCTTTTTTAGTTAAAGTTTAAAAATAACATGATATTTCTCTGTCTATCATTTTGAGGCAATATGAAAGAATAATACAAAACTGAATTACAGCAGCTGAGAAAGAGAAATCAATAGATATGCTCCTAAATGGCCTGAGGAGCAGCCTGGGGCCCAACAAGGATGGAAACATCACATCACAAAGGGGGATTCAAGCAAAACAGTTTCTGTTAGTAAAAGATATGTGGAATCACAACCTCTCAATATTTTACCTGTACTTGATGCAAAGTAACGAGCACAAATTGGTCATCATTGAGAAGGCACGGACAAGAAAATCACACAGAGCTGTGAACAGTCTTTGCATGGTGATGTTGACTGAAGCTGGACTCTAAAACTCCAGCGTCATTGCTCATCTGATTTAATGACTTTCCTTGGGCTGGAACTGAATATCAAATGAGCCTCCTAGTGCTCTTGTGACAGGAGGAGGGACTACTAAGTTCATCAGGGGCTTTTAACAAAAGGATTATTCTGTTGCAATGATGCCCTTAATAAACCATTTTGGGAGCTCCAGCATATACCCCTAATGTTGTCAATTCTTGATTTATGTAAATTTATTTGTATAACCCAGAAAACAAGAAATGTCTTTAATGTTTTTTCCAAAGCAATGTTCTGCTATATACGTGGTGATCTCACACAGTATAATTACTGAGCAGTAATTACTGTCTGCTAATTAAGGCACTCACCATAACACAACTACAGCTAAAAGCTTTGATTATTTGTTGGTATCTTATCACACAAAGTATTAAAATACTTGATTCTCTACTTATAGAGGAATAAATGATAGCAATTCCAAAGATAATTAATGAGGCTGCAGTATTTTGAATGATAGCACAAAACTCTTATAACAGATTCAGAGATAACAAGGTGTAGAGCTGGATGAACACAGCATGAAAGACAGTCCTTGATGTATGTAGACTTATTTGTAA